AGGAGCAATAGTATTAATGATTGTGTCAGTGGTTACAAAGATGTTATTCATACATGGTTTTGCTCACACCTTCTCATCTTTTTTGTGGAGTATTAGTCATTCTTAGGGTGGAGAAGTACAGTGAATTACCAAAAAAAATTTTATTTTAGAAATAGGTAGTTTGACATATATACTTAAAAATACAAACATCAGTTATCCACAAAAAATGTTATATTTCCACCAAAAAAATTATGAAAACAATGTATATATATTTAAACCGGAAGTGCTAGTTTTTAAACAGGAAGTGATTATAACCTCCAACGTATCTTTCAGAAATGGTATCATATTCACTCAAAATTGTTATTCCTTCAAATCTAGCTTTAGCCTAAGACAGGGAACTAGAGTACAGTGAGCCCTCTTTGTTCAAAACATTTTCTTCCAACAACAAAATGGTAGCTTGCTTGCTTGATGGTGTACTGTACATGTGACCCAGATTTGATGGTTGATTATTTTTATTGTTGTCGCAATAAGACAAGCTTTCCAAAAATATATACTTTATTTGGGTTATTGTGCTTAACTTGTAAGTTATGAAACATTAAATGTTGGTATTGAGCCTGACTAAAATTCACTGTACTCGCCACCTTAAGCATAGGCTGGGTGGATGGGGGGTCCTCAAGCCCGTAGCCAGGGGAGTTCGTTGGGTTCGACCGAATTAAGAAATGTTCCCCATATTTTCGAATTGTAAATTGTTTATATCCAGAAGACTATCAAAATATAAGTTGTCCAACCAGCTTAATAATAATATTGATAATAATGTATGTATTGTTTGTGTTATTTCTGAACGTTTCTATCTGTGTTGTTTTAGGTTTTGTATGGGTCTTTGTTGGTTCTACCTTTTTTTTTTTAGTATGATGGTACTGGTTGATCAGATTGTTGATGAGTATATAAGTAACTGCTGTAACTAGAGGACTGAAGTTCAAAGTTACGAAAATGTACCTTCTTTCGAAAGAATTTTCTAGCCATTGATCCAGTGCATCTAGTACTGTTTGAAGAACCCTTTCCTTTTTAGTTACTAAAATGAAGGGTAGGAATTACCCTTAGTCTACAGACGATCACTCCTTCGTAGGCCTAAGGAAGTTGTCTACCTTTATGATACAGGATGGAGATTAGGTTTAGATTTATTCTGGTGTTGAAATACATAAATTTCAAGGTACATCAACATAAATATGGTAGATTAGCAATGTTTAGAGTAAAGTTACAGACCGCTCATGTAATCTTCTTTATGATTGGCATTTTATGATATCGGCTTCATCGCTACAATTAATCTTGAACATCGATGCAGCTGATGACAGATGCTAAGGCCTAGTAGTACACTGCAATATATTTTTATGTCAACATATACATATATATTTAAAGCTGTTTGCAAAGATAAGGACATATAAAAAAAACATATCAAAAGTTGGTTAGTAGGATTACACTCAAGATGAAAACATGAGGCCAGAAAGGTTTCCACTTGCTTTTTCTCTCCCTCATTTCCTACCTTCTCTACCTTCCCACACTGTCTCCCAATCATACAGTAGATTCCAATAATCTTTTCAAAGAATTTGAAAAACAATTAACTCTAATTAGTTTTTTTTTAAATTTATTTATTCTTCATTCCTTTCCTTGTATTTATACCACTACATCCTTTTAATATTTCCTTTCCCATTTGCAGTTTATATTTCTTTACTTTTTTTTCTCTTTCCATCATTTTTCCTTTTTATTCACTCATCCTTTTCCCCATCATTTCTACCACATTTTTCTTGTCCGTACTTGTTATGGTTCCCTTTACCACCCTTTTTCGAATTCGCATCCATTTGCTCTTTTTCCGTCATCTCTCTATTATCATCTCTTTTCTTCTCATCCCATTTCCATTCTCTTACCATTTCTTCTTTTCTTGTTTTACATCTGTCCTTCTCCATCAACCCTTTTTCCTCTTTCCATCTTTTCTGATCATAATATAAATAATATTTCATTTACTCCTAGTACATATATTCCATTAAAAAAATGTGTAAGTATGTAATACATCTGTAAATATGTAATACATCTAAAATGGCACCAGTCTTTTCCAACCATCTTCTGTTTCCACTATCTTCTTCCATTCTCCCCCTCTTTATTATTTTCAATGTCATACATAGCACTTTATGTGTAGAGTATTAGTGCGCCCTCTAGAGTTAACTTGTTGCAAGATTTTCCAAATTGTTGCTGTAACTGCATATGCAAAGAATTTTTATTTTTAGATGAATTTTGCTTCAAATTTAGCATCTGCCTTTTGTGTGTTTGCAAGCTGTTTTCTGTATAGCAATCTACCATATGTCATCTGTGACATTTTATATGTTGTTTTATGGTTTAGTGGTCCGTCTTACAACAATTGTTAATAAATTAACAGTGGTTTTGTGAAAATGTGATTCATGCAAAATATGTTTGATTGGTTAAATTCTAGACTGGTACATTCCCTGTTAAGTATTGCTTACTTAAATTACTGATGCATTTTTTTTGGGAATTTACTCATTTAAATTTCTAAAGAAACATCTTCTTGAGTGAATGAATGTGCATAATTACAACTTGCTTCTCTCAAATGGATTATTTTTTTGCTGTAAATCTTAAAATTTCAGTGAATAAGATTATTAAACCAACAGTTTTAATTTACCTTTAATTACCCATGGACTATTTCATAAGATTAAGTAGATGTTTTCATTACTTAATAAATATAGCAAGGCATTGGATATAGGTATTATGGTTGTTTGACCATCCAAAAATATTGAACATCTGATAGACCAAAATATTAATCATTTAAATGTATTTGAAATTAGATTAACTTAATAACTTAATCCAGATAATTGTAATCAGTGGATTAAATCAGGATTGGATTAATCTGTGATTGCATATTTTATAATCTAAAGTTGATTTGTCCTATACTCTCTTTACCTCTATGACCACTAATCACTACAACACATATCTTATGATCACAAATCACTTGAACACCGGATATTAAACAACAGAGAAAACCTACTTGAAGCACTTACCATAATATCTCTACCTTTAGTACTAGTAATTTTTTTTGTCTAACATTGTTTGATTAAATGTTTTCTGATGACTTCTAATACACATGGAAAGACATAATTTTGGATCAGATATGTCATTTTATATGCAAGTATTGTTATCAGCCATGGCTTATCTAGGAGTATCGAGGCGGATTTAGGGGAGGGGGGTGGCCCGGCCCTGGTCCCACCTTTTGGGAGTTAAAAAAAGAAGAAAAAATAAAAAAGAAAGAAAAAGGAAAAGAAAAAAATGATAGCCCAGAACACTTCAAATGTTATTTTTGGGCGTTTAGAACACAAAAAGTTTGTGGGAGAATGCCCCCGGGCCCCTAGTACATTGTTGTTTCGATCGGCCCAACTTTCGCCCCCACTTTTGGACATCTCTGGATCCCCTCCTGCGTATTAACATGGGGCTGATGGGCGGTGGGGTGTGAAGTTTAAGTGGGGGAACTTGATGATTTGTAAATGAGAAAGAATTATCTGGAGAAATAAGGTGATTTAACTATTTGAGTGTAATTTTTTTCAATCAATAAATTTTCTAGAGTAGTGGGAACAAGCTTTTTTGCCTTCCCCTTTCCCTCCCAGATATACCCAGAGTCTAATCAAACATCTATTACTGTCTGACAGACAAAGAGATGATTGTGTATACCTTGCTTATCAAGAGTGGGTGATAGCCCATGGCAGATAATTCTTTGACCCATTTTTAACAAAAAGCTTTTCTTTCCCTTCAACTGATTTATTAATAGATCCAGATGAGATAACCTTCCTGTTACAATCATTGAAACTCTTTTTGGCAGTATTAAAAAAATGTTGTCTCCTATAAATAAACACTTGATACAAAAACAACAATAAGTAATTGCTGAAATGGACATGACTAATAACAAGCCTAAATATTCAATAGTTCTGCAGTTCATATTTATAATTTTTTGCATCCTCATATTTACTTGGCAAAAAATGTAAAAAAAAAAATAAAAAATCAGGTCGGGAATATTACCTATGCTTTGCGTGTACAAAAAATATTTTTCTTATGAGGCCATTTAAATCTAATTTTAAAATGTTATTGGTGTGATTAATTAAGTTTAACAGTATATGTACAATGGCTGCTGATTTATTATTAAAGAATTTTTGAGTGACATAAATGTATAATTGTGTTGGAATGCCTTTAAACTTCCAAAGAGTAATTCTTTGGAATTTTTGTTACCTGGAGACAAGGACCTCATAATTTTCCAAAGATCACCGTTTCTTTGTTTGAAGTAATTTGAATCTCTTAAATCCAAATATCAATGGTATAATAATAGTGTGTTCTGTTTTTTTTTTGTTTTTTTTTGCATTACTTTGATAAGTCGGGCATTTATTTTTAAGTATGTATGTATGTAACAGAAAACAAACCAAGATATCTTGCATACATGAATTCATTTCAATTAAAATTCAATAACAAAATAAAGGACAATTACTGATGGGAATTTAAAATGTTATTTATTCTCTAATACAATTTATTATTCTATTATTTATTTTTTTAATGTGGTTTTTGTATATTAATAGCAGAAAATTTTTTTAAAGGATTGAAGTTAGGTCTTTGGGTCTTAAATTCTGGCACCCTGACCACTCAACCACAATCTCAAATTCTTTATTTATATTTTCATAATAAAATCTGTGAATTAAATTTGTAAAATTTACTTGTTTTAGGCCTCTCTGATCTTGAAAATTAAGGGTCTTCAAATAATATTTGAGTCGTAAAGTTGTAAAAATTTATGGGTTTACAGTAATTCATGTACCTTATGATATACAACCTAGTGGGAGATAGAGTTTCACTACATTCAGGTTACTTGATATAAACGTATCCATTTCTATTATACTGGTATGTGAACTCCCATTATAATGACAGCATTACTTAATGAATAATTTATATATTTTAAAACATGTCCTGTTTCTCTTTCTTAGAAATGGATCTGATCACCATAACATGTCAAGTGATGACGAGAACGATGATTCCATGGTAAGAAATCTTTTTTTTTTATGTTTCCAGATAAATATTATCATAATTGTCTTTGTCGTCAATCATTGAAAATAAGTAAAATACCATGAATAAGTATCCTATCTAGCGCCCTCTATAGTTTGTATGTAGGTGGAAACTGAAACTGCAATTAATTTTTGTAAGAACATATTCTGTGTAATAATCTTTGTAATATAAGACTCTATTGTTGTAATCCAAACATTTTTGTTGCTGTAGTAGGATTATTATTTGATTTTCTTTCATGCATCTCATGTTATAACTGTTGTTCCTTAGAATAAATAATTTATATTATGTCCTTATAATTTATGATACCACTGTAGATTATATTTCTGTCAGTTCTTCAGTTTAAATCATCAGGCCCCCAGGCTACAGTATGTAGTAATTCAGTTTATTTTTGACCTTGTCATTTTTTGAATTAATTTTATTCTATTGTTGACTACAATTCTACTTATATTTTCATTTATTTTGTGACGAAACAGTAATAATAATATTTCTTTCTTATTCAAAGTTTCTTTATCAAAATATTTTCAATATATTATAAATATAGTAAATAGAGTAACAGAAATACAGTAGGTGTAGAAGTGATAAAGAAACATTTAAAACATCGACAATAACACGAAAAATATTAGGTGGATGAGAAGAGTTTTAAAGCCTGTGTTAGTTCTACAAAATTAAATTGCATACATTTTCATCAATTGGTCCATTTTGATTAATTGCACTATTGCTTGTTGTTTGAATATTTTTACATGGGTTAGGGGGTTACATGTGATTTCCTACAAACAAAAATAGATAAATAAAAATATGATTTGTAAACAAAATTTTAAAAACGGATAAAATTAATAGAATTTAGTTAATGGCCACTTAAAATTTTATCCGAGAAAGAAATTAATAGAAATGAAATTAATATAGTCTCAATGAATTTTTTCTGAACTTATGTTTATCTCATTTCGTACAACATTAATCTTAAGAATTTTTCTATTACGAAAGTATCTAGTATCCTATCTTGGCACCTTTAATTTGAACAAAAATATGATTTGTAAATGAAAGCAAAGGATACAGTTTATAGAATTTAGTTAATGGCAAATTGAAATTTGATCTTAGAAGTTATTAAAACTATTATTTATATAATCTCTCAATGAATTTTCTCTGAACTGTATTTTTACCTTTATTTATATAAAAATCATGAACAGCATTGCAGAAAAATCCGAAGAACTAAGTAGATTATTTAATATTGAATTATTACATGTTGAATTGAAATGATGAAATCACATTCATAGAATCACATTATAAGTCATGCGATCAATTAGTCTTGAATGTAATCTATTAATAAAACCAGCCAAGCAATCTGGTTTTATATTTGCCATTTCCCACTACTACGAATGCTTTGTTTTGTTTTAGTTCAACCATAATTAAAATCACTTCATTTATCTTGCTTATTAGTATGTCACCCACATTCACTGTTTAGTGAAATCCTAGAGAAAGGAATCAATTATTCTAAGCCATTACACAACAAGGAGCTTATTCAATCGGATCATTGAAAAACCCGCGACTTGTTTCTAATTCCTATTGTTTGCTCTATTTAACTCCAGATATTCAGCCCCTCAATGCTTGTAACATGGGCCACCCCTCGTAGACAAATGTAATAGCCCAAGCAGTCGAGGTCAACCAGCAAGTAGCGAAAAATCAGCATAAGTTAGTTAGGCTGTCTGTAATCAGATATCTGTGGGCTGTGTAAGCCAGTGGAGGTATAACTCACAAATCACATATCACATCTGTTTGTACACTGCATTACATGCAGAATGTTTTGTTTGTTGGGCCATAATTCCTCCAGATCACCATAATACCTGGAAACTTATAGTCTGGCTTCGTCTTGCCTCGTACATGTACCAGCTAGTTTTGCGCATGACCGTCGAACGAGTATATGTGGATCTAATTAGCCAAACGGATATTAATTAATGAACTTCTCTTCTTTCCTATTTCAACGTCAGGATCACGTCCGTAATAACGGCGGTGCTCACGAAGACGGATCCCCCAGGTTCGTACACACTTTTTCTTTCAGTGTTGTATAATTTTGTTTGTACGAATGCTTGTTATGATAAAAAATGTTTTATTATTAGTACAAGACTGCTACTGTCACTGTGATATTTTATTTCCATGCTGCACCAATCACAATGTCAATCATTGACCTCATTGACCTGGAAATTGGGCCAGCCGGCTAGATATTTACAGGATGATTTTGATACTGATATTGATGCATATGATTAAGATGACTGTCTTCTTGAACAAGGTTGTTATATAATTATTTGATGTCAAAGTCAACCTTGACCAAATATACCAGGTTATTATTAATATCGCCTGGTGTAGTATTTAATAACCCGGTTATGGGACAAAACACTCTTGATAAGGATGAGTTAATAGGGATAATTCTCTAGTTAACATCAAAATATCAGACCAGTCATTATATTTGTAGACTGACAATATAAAATATTATTTGATGTAAAATTATTTTTTAATATTTCCACTTTTTTTTTTATTACCATTGACTATTTTTTTTTTTTTTGAGGTTTTTTGTGTGTGTTTGTAGATCACTAGTCTGTTTGCTTGTTTATATGTTTATGTATTTTTTTTTTTATGTTTAACATGAATAACATGATTTGTATTACTACTATATGATGAACATAGTGTCTGTATGTTTAATGTGTTTGATAAAGCCTCAGGATATTGCACAAGGCCTATTTATATTATCAATTACAGAACCTTGAATAATTACTTGCACTTGTCAGATATCCACACAATCAATTAATTCCCTATTGACCTCTGAGCCCCGACCCCTGATGTTTTGTGTTTGTCCATGCGGAACGGTAGACTTTGGAGTGTCTATATTCACTCAGCCATGACTGGCCTATCTTAAATTGAATGTAAATAATCAGGAAATATTAGTGCAAAACTGTTATCTTTTGGTCTCAATGTTTTATTTGATGTAAAATTATTTTTTAATATTTCCACTTTTTTTTTTATTACCATTGACTATTTTTTTTTTTTTTGAGGTTTTTTGTGTGTGTTTGTAGATCACTAGTCTGTTTGCTTGTTTATATGTTTATGTATTTTTTTTTTTTCATGTTTAACATGAATAACATGATTTGTATTACTACTATATGATGAACATAGTGTCTGTATGTTTAATGTGTTTGATAAAGCCTCAGGATATTGCACAAGGCCTATTTATATTATCAATTACAGAACCTTGAATAATTACTTGCACTTGTCAGATATCCACACAATCAATTAATTCCCTATTGACCTCTGAGCCCCGACCCCTGATGTTTTGTGTTTGTCCATGCGGAACGGTAGACTTTGGAGTGTCTATATTCACTCAGCCATGACTGGCCTATCTTAAATTGAATGTAAATAATCAGGAAATATTAGTGCAAAACTGTTATCTTTTGGTCTCAATGTTTTGTCAATTTTATGTAGAAATATTGGGATTTTGAGGGAGATAAGCTTTGAAGTAGTGATTAGTGATTTTCACTGATAATCTAATAGCAAGGTACATTGAGATTGATAACTCTCGTAAAACTAAAGAGGGGAAAGATACAAAACTGTTTATAATTTTAAAAATGAAAATTATATCAAGGAGGTACATACAAAATGATTTTAAAAGTCATGTTACTTATCAAGGTGTTTTGAAAATGAAAAACATAATTCTCATTTTTCTTGTTTTTTTCATCCCAATGGACCCCACCCACGCCAGAAATTTTTAGACCCCTTCCCCCGTCAAAAAGCTTTGACCCCTGACACCCACACACAAATTTACCTGTACTTGGGTTGTTGCTTACTTCATCCAGGTATCTTACACCCAAGGCAGTATGTTATTTATCAGATAAGTTTGCTAAAATATATTATAATATTTACCTTTACTTAGCTGGTGATGTAGGGAAATATGTATTAGTTAATTTTTTTATCAACAAAACTTTGTAGCTCTTGTGATGTTATTATGAAAACTTATGGCGTTATGCAAAGGTCGTCCCATTTAATCCTGGTGATTATAACTTAAGATCTTTCTTCATGATTGTGGTTTATGAATCTGGTTCCAGGCCAATTTCGTGTAAGTCTTGAATATTTTGAGAGTATTTTAGAATGAAGTGAATTCTATCTTTTGCCCCCATTGGCTTCTACGTTGTAAAATTCCAAGTTTATATTAAAATATGCCTTTTTTGAGGCATAATACGAAAGTAAATGAAATGAAGGTAAGAATTTTGAGTCTATTGTGAGTGTCATGCATGTTTTACTTACTGAAAACACCCTTTTTCACTATCGTTTGTTGTCTTGCATACAATAAAGTGTTCTTTGGAATTAGTTGAATAAAAGTTACCTACCTGTATCCACCTACTATGTCATACCAGCTCAAGCGTACTAAACCTACCTGATAAATTAACACACTTTAATTAAAGAGAGTTCTATTCTTGTTATCAGTTTAATTGATAAGCTTATCTTAATCTACAAGATATACCACAAGTGTCAAACTAAAGTAAACAAAACTGCAAAAGGCAAATACAGTACTGTTGTACTGTAATCTTATTTTTTTCACATTTTGATATTTTGTTAAAAATTAAACAAGAAAATTCTAATGTAATTGACCAAAACATAGTTTATAAACAGAATTACCAAAACAAGGTTTTTCACTTTTTGGGGTGGGGGGGATGTTTAACGCTTGGGAATGTTATTGTTATTGCTGCGAAGCAGCCAATTCATATTCTTGACAGCAATTTGACCTCTGAAAGGTCATTGATTGTCAAAAAACGAGGGCCTAAGACGACTGAAAAGCGGAGTTTCCTTCTTTCGTTCTGCCGGGTAAAATCAATTACTTTAGGCGACGTTTGTAGACTAACCTACTCGTACCAAAGTCGCATGTCGCGACGCTGGAGTATTACTATTCAGCGTTTTTACTATATTTCTAGGTTTCCTATTTCTACGTTTAATCGGCCCATGTCTCAGCCACAATATTTTGAGGCCAATATTTACGAACCCAGTTAAACTTATTTACTAGCCTATTTCAGCGTGCTAATTATTACATTTAGGCGACGCTTGTTGTAGACTGGCATACACGGTACCAACGCTGTTCTAATATAGACAATGGGTCGTGTCTCATATTATTTGTTACATTTTTATTATTCATTATTTTCACTTGACTCACATAAATAGTTTTGTTCGAAGAACATTTATATGCAGTTGTACTTCGCAGCACTTCACTTGCAATTTGCAATTTCTAGTTATCTAAAACTAAAGAGGAAGCCATATTTCCCTTTGTTATCATAGCGAGTGTCATTTTTCTCACACTTTACATAATTCTAAATATATATTCTTTGTCTAAAGCTTTATAAACCAGAACAATTATTTCAATTGCCTACTTTGTTTATTTTAAGGTAAGTTATTTACTTTCAATTGAAATTAATAAAGGAAACAATTCCTCTCTGATTAACTGATGCAGAAGCAATGCTGTTCCTATGTAGTTTGCCCACACTTATTATTCATCATCATGATCATCATCATCATGATCATCATCATCAACAACAACATCATCACCATCACAAACATTGATTGTTTTCATCATCATTACCACCAGAAACAACCTCATAACATAAATCATCATCATCAAAGTGAGATCATCATCATTGTCAAAGTGAGATCATCATCAAAGTGAGATCATCATCATTGTCAATGTCATAATCATTATAATCATCATTGTTGCCAGTCATCTAATATTTTACTTCATTTCATAATTTTTTTTTTTTTTTTTTAGAAAATGCAATTATCCCTATTACCTCTTGTACAAGGTTATTGCTTAATATCTTGTAATTATTTAATCATTTCTTCTTGTCTAAAGTGCTTAAAATTTGGATTGCATAGTCCAACCGCAACATAATCACTCAGACTAATATGCTAAAACGAAATCGGAAAACAAATTTTGTGGCTCTTCTAACGTCAACACATTCATTTGAAGGATGTAATTTAAATACCGGTACATTTTTTTGAATTCCTCGGACCAGAAAAATCATAAATGTTTAAACGTAACTTCTTTCACGGAAATTTAAATCCTTTTGGAATGCTGAGAATATTGATTCAGTAGAAACACATGCATCATTCTTGCGAAAATGCATATAAAATTCTGTGTATGCATCCTAGTTGAGATTGGCCAGGATTTCGAGCAGACCTAATTAATTGCGTGCAAATCAATACATCGTGCATTGTTGTTGACACCATTCTATTGGAGAGGTGTTCAAATTAGACAGTGTTCCAAAGGTGTGATACACAGTTAGTCAGATGTTTGTATATATGTGTATTATATATGTTATGTTTGTATATACATGTTTATATGTGCTTGGAAAGTAATCTCTATATTATAATTGCATGAAACAACACTTAAACCAGAACTAAATTGAAATTATTATTATTCTATCACCTACTTGGCCTCATAGCTATTTTGGTAGAGCAACCATACAGAAAAAAGATGGTCTTTCTTTTGAATCCTGATGGTGATATATTTTTTTGCAAAAAATTTAATAAATCATTAATTATCGTAAATTATCATTACATTAAATAATTATTATTTAATGCATACTTACTGTACATTATTAACCACAAAAATCATTTGTTGTTTTCCTTTCAATTTTCATTCAAGTTCGGTAATCATAGTTCCTCTTGTATAAAGCGAACCTTCTTAAATACAAAATTGGGCAGATTTCAGAGGATGGGGGGTTATATCTGGGGAATCCCCATTTAAATCAGAAGGCAATTTTCAGCACTTTATGCTTAATCCAAAGCCAATATTTGTCTTTTTGTTAGAGTACTTGTAAAAGTCAGCTAAGGTACTCATTCAAATTATACCTGGGCTTTTGCCCGAGGAAAGGCTGGTATGGAAATTGGCCGTACAGTAGGGGGAGGGCCTATACCCGGGGGAATGTAGGCACTAATTATAGATGAAGTACATAGCATAAGTGTGACTACATGTTAAAACATGTTGGCAAGGAATTAATG